CTGATTTTTTGTATTTTTAGTAGAGACGGGGTTTCACCATGTTGACCAGGATGGTCTCGATCTCTTGACCTCGTGATCCACCCGCCTCGGCCTCCCATAGTGCTGGGATTACAGGCTTGAGCCACCGCGCCCGGCCAGATTCATGCTTGTTAATGTGCTCTTCTCCCGTGTCCTTCAGGTGCTTCGTAGGACTCCACAAGTCACGAGTCGTCTCTCCTTCACATCCAGGTGTTCACTTGCAGACACGTGGTGTTTGTCCAAAGGTTGATTCTGTCTGACATTTCTGTTTGCTCCAGCTCAGTTCAGCCACGTCAGCCGAGGCTTCCTTGCCTAACGCCCTAGGGCTGTGCCAATTTTCAGCCAGTATGGCCAAGAGAGCCATGAGGACCAGTCCTGCCACGGCCATGCGGATCAGGTTCTGCACCGTGTAATCTTGGCTCACAGAGTCTAGAGACATAATCGAAGGAGACGAATGGTTGGTGGCTGTGTTCCATTCCATCCCAACCCCAGAGCCCTGCCATGGGAGCTCATTTCCCTATTCGTTTGCCAAAATGTGACTCCCTCAGACATCTCCTCAATGAGCTCACATTTCACAAGCACCGCGCGGATCAGTCACCAAGACTGTGTCCATGGGCAAGGAACTTTGGTTTCCAAGGAAGTCCCATAAACTGGGAAGGAGGTGATCATGGGCAGGTCGTGTTTTCTTTCTTTTCTTTTTTGAGACAGAGTCTTGCTCTGTCACCCACGCTAGAGTGCAGTGATGTGATCTCGACTCACTGCAATATCTGCCTCTCAGGTTCAAGCGATTCTCCTGCCTCAGCCTCCCGAGTAGCTGGGATTACAGGCGTGCGCCACCAGGCCCAGCTAATTTTTTGTATTTTTAGTAGAGACAGCGTTTCACCATGTTGGTCAGGCTGGTCTTGAACTCCTGACCTTGTGATCCGCCCGCCTCAGCCTCCCAATGTGCTGGGATGACAGGTGTGAGCCGCCGCACCTGGCCAGGCAGGTCGTGTTTTCTTTTCCTTCTCTCCTCACTTGGTGATTTCACTGAATGTCAGATCATATCTCTATAACACCACCATACATTCAGAAACCTGAATTCTCTCCTCTGTCCTCACCCTGGAGAACAGTTTGTGTTCCTCTCATACAAATGATATTACACTGTTGGTACGTGGAAACTAGAGAGGGGAAAATTTCAGATAAACTTAGGTAAAATTTACCTCCACTAATGTGTGATTTTTTTTTTTTTGCTAGACTTTGCTTTTCCTGAATCTTTTTTCCTCCTTTCTTCATTTGTTTTTTTTTTTTTTTTGAGACGGAGTTTCACTCATGTTACCCAGGCTGGAGTGCAATGGCGCGATCTCGGCTCACTGCAACCTCCGCCTCCTGGGTTCAGGCAATTCTCCTGCCTCAGCTTCCTGAGTAGCTGGGATTACAGGCACGTACCACCATGCCCAGCTAATTTTTTGTATTTTTAGTAGAGACGGGCTTTCACCATGTTGACCAGGATGGTCTCGATCTCTTGGCCTCATGATCCACCTGCCTCGGCCTCCCAAAGTGCTGGGATTACAGGCTTGAGCCACCGCGCCCGGCCCTTTCTTCATTTGTTATATGAACTGCATGCGGCTGTGTTCCTCTCAAGGATGTATTGCTCTGAAATTACAGGCCAGGTGAGGTGGCTCACACCTGCAATCCCAGCACTTTGGAAGGTCGAGGCGGGAGGATCACTTGAAGTCAGGTTACAAGTTCGAGACTAGCCTGGGCAACATGGCAAAACCCCATCTCTACTAAAAGTACAAAAATTAGCCGGGCATGGTGGTGCACGACTGTGGTCTCAGTTAGTCCGGAGGCTGAGGCACGAGAATTGCTTCAACCCGGGAGGCGGAGGTTGCAGGGTGACCAGAGATTGAGCCACTGCACTCCAGCTCGAGTGACAGAGCGAGATTCTGACTCAAAATAAATCAATACGTAAATAAATAAAATAGAAATGGGGCTCATGATAGAGGTTTTAAAAGCCTTTCCTATGAGCCCCCAGTCCCCACTTGATCCTACGGTGAATTCTAGTACTGTTGGTGAGTTCAAGGATTTCCAGCTGCAACTGGAAAGAAGAGGTGTGCTAGTCGAGGTTGAGCCTGGTGTCTCCTGTCTCAGCAGCCCACAAACACGTGACTCTAAAAGTCAGCCCTTCTTGGCCGGGCGCCGTGGCTCATGCCTGTAATCCCAGCACTTTGGGAGGCCGAGGCGGGTGGGTCACAAGGTCAGGAGTTCAAGACCAGCCTGGCCAACATGGTGAAACCCCATCTCTATGGTCCCAGCTACTCAGGCAGGAAAATTGCTTGAACCCGGGAGGCGGAGGTTGCAGTGAGCCGAGATTGCGCCACTGCACTCCAGCCTGGGTGACAGAGCGAGACTCCATATCAGAAAATAAAATAAAATAAAAGTTAGCCCTTTTTGGCTGGTAGTAGTGACTCATACTTGTAATCCCAGCACTTTGGGAGGCTGAGGTGGGCGGATCACCTGAGGTCAGGAGTTCAACACCTGTCTGGCCAACATGGTGAAACCCTGTCTTCACTAAAAGTACTAAAAAATTAGCCAGGCGTGGAGGCAGACACCTGTAATCCCAGCTACTCGGGAGGCTGAGGCAAGAGAATCCCTTGAACGCAGGAGGCGGAGGTTGCAGTGAGCCGAGATTGTGCCCCTGCACTCCAGCCTCGGCCATGAGGTGAGACTCTATCTCAAAAGAAAAAAAAGGTTAGCCCTTCTTTTCTCAATAGACCACATGTGTTCAAGGAACACAGACTGGAGAACTCTAGCGAGAAAGTGAAAGTCAAGCATAGAGCCGGGGAAGCCCTCCTCTCTCCACTGTCCTGGGGTGAGCGAGTCTCTGCTTCTCTTCACTTTACCCTGAGTGCACCTCTTCAGATCCCTGCCCAGTGACATAGCCCTGACAGCCAACCCGGACACGGGGCTGGCTGGTACCTACCTGTGACCACAAGCTCCAGGGCATTACTGGGGGCGGACCACACGTAGGGACTGCTGCTGTACCAACCATAGCACCTGTAGCTCCCTGAGACATTGACGTCCAGAGGACCCAGAGAGAAGTTGGCCGGGTGTTCCCCACTTTGGTGCTGTGGCAGAGAAAGTTCTCCCTCCTTGGCCAGTGAAAATCTATCAAATGGGAGGTGTGCCGAGGTACACGTGAAGGAAATATTCCCTCCCGGCCTCACCACACGACCCCGATCTGCAGAGAGGAGGGGTTTGTCATACAAGCCTAAGAGAGAAAAGAGTGAGATATCAGCAAGAACGTTCCTCCTTTATTCTTTTTATTTATTATTATTTTCTGAGATGGAGCCTTGCTTTGTCACTGAGGCTGCAACGCAGTGGCGCGATCTTGGCTTACTGTAACCTCTGCCTCCTGGGTTCAAGCCAGTCTCCTGTCTCAGCCTCCTGAGTAGCTGGGATCACAGGCATCTGCCACCACACCCAGGTAGCTTTTGTATTTTTAGTGGAGACGGGGTTTCACCATGTTGGCCAGGCTGGTCTGGAACTCTTGACCTCAAGTGATCCACCTGTCTCAGCCTCCCAAAGTGTTGGGATTACAGGTTTGTGCCACCATGCCCAGCCTCTTTTTTCTTTTAAAAAATTTATCTATTTTTAAAAAGAAATACTTTTTATTTTTTTTTTAGAGAGGGTCTCACTCTGTCACCCAACATCAATAGCCATATTCACATGTACAGTATAAACCTTCCTTGCAATAACCCATAAGCCAGTCTAGTCATGAGCAAAACATCAGGCAATTTCCAATAATGGAAGTACCCTTGAAACTAACGGACCACTACTCTCAAAACTGACAAGGTCGTGGAAAACCAGGATCGTCTGAGAAGCTGTGACAGCCAAGAGAAACCTAAATATACGTGACATCTGAATGCAATGTGTAATCTTTTTTTTTTCAGACAGAGTCTCTCTCTGTCACCCAGGCTGGGGTGGAGTGGCACGATCTTGGCTCACTGCAACCTCCACCTCCCGGTTCAAGCAATTCTGTCTCAGCCTCCTGAGTAGCTGGGACTACAGGTGCACACCCCCATGCCTGGCTAATTTTTGTATTTTTAGTAGAGATGGGGTTTCACCATGTTGGCCAGGGTGGTCTCGAATCCTGACCTCGTGATCCGCCCACCTTGGCCTCCCTAAGTGCTGGGATTACAGGCGTGAGCCACCGCGCCCGGCTGCAATGTGAAATCTTGAATGAGATTCTGGAACAGAGAAAAAGTATCAGGTAAAAACTAAGAAAATCTAAGTAAGCTATAGGCTTTATCTGAGAATGTGTCGATGTTCATTAATGTAAATGTGCCATGCTAAACAGAAAAGCAAACACCACATGTTCTCACTCATAAGCGGGAGTTGAACAATGAGAACACATGGACACAGGGAGGGGAACATCACACACTGGGGCCCATTGGGGGCTGGGGGGCTGGGGAGGGATAGCATCAGGAGAAATACCTAATGTAGATGATGGGTTGATGGGTGCCGCAAACCACCATGACAGGTGTATACGTTGGTAACAAACCTGCATGTTCTGCACATGTACCCCAGAACTTAAAGCATAATAATAATAAAAAAAGAAAGAAATGTACCATAGTAATGTAAGATGCTAACTCTGGGGGAAATAGGGTGCCAGATATCTGAGAACTCTCTGAAGCAACCATCTTGATTTTCTCTCTCTCTCTTTTTTTTTTTTTTTTTTTAAATCAAAAACTACAAAAAAAATAAACTCTGTTAAAAATAAGAAAAAAAAAAAACCACACCAGGACCGTGGACCTGGATGTTTCCTTACCTGTCACCACCAGCTCCAGGGCGTTACTGTACTGTGACCAGGTGAAGCCTCTCCTGTACCGGCAGTGATAGCGCCCTGCCGTGTTTGTGTCCATGTGGTCAACGATGAACTCACTCTCGTTCAAAAACCCCAGTTTCCTGTCTACCTCCTTGTACGTGGAGTTTTTTTGGATCACCAGCTGGGTCAGGAAAGATTCAGGACTGCTCTGGCACTGGATTTTCGCAGATCCATGCCGGGGAACCACAGGACTTGATCTGGCAAATATGAGAGGCATGGGGAAGTCCCCTGGAAGAAGAAAAAGCCCAGACTCAGGTGGCCCGCCATGGGGAAGCCATTCCTTTCCTTCTCTGTGGGGGAATTAAAAATAAATTAGCATGTGAAGAACCTATAATGCTTTATTTTTAAAAAATTTTAAATAGGCCGGGTGCAGTGGCTCGTGCCTGTAATCCCAGCACTTTGGGAGGCCGAGGAGGGTGGATCCCAAGGTCAGGAGTTCAAGACCAGCCTACGAATCCTCGCTGGATGATTTGAATGATGGCAACAGTGCAGCAGCATTTAAAACTCTGGAGATCCCACATCTGAATGCTGGCACACTGACAAATACTAGGAGGAGGATTGCCATCAGCCTGGTAAACATGGTGAAACCCCATCTCTACCAAAAAAAAAAAGAAAAACCCCAAAATTTTCTGGGTGTGGTGGCGTGTGCTTGTAGTCCCAGCTACTCAGGAGGCTGAGGCAGGAGGACCACTTAGCCCGATAGGTGGAGGCTGCAGTGAGCCGAGATTGTGCCGCTGCCCTCCAGCCTGGGCGACAGAGCAAGATCCCGTGTCAAAATACAGAACAAACACATGAAAGAGCCTTGTGGCTAAGATTCTACATGCTGGCCAGCGCTCCTGAGTGCCACCTACTGGATCACACCTCAAAATACAGCACTGAAATATTTTACCATTATACAGCACCTGTGAAAATGAAGGAAAAAATCCAGCCACAAATAAAGATTCTGTGCAGAGTCCCAGCAGCTGAAAACACCCAGAAATGAAGACAAGTCACTGTACTCAACTGACATCACAGTTAAAGGAATGGCAGCCTTCGCACATGAGAAAGAATCAACACGAAGCCTGGGCGTGGTGACTCACGTCTGTAATCCCAGCACTTTGGGAGGCTGAGGTGGGCAGATCACCTGAGGTCGGGAGCTCCAGTCCAGCCTGATCAACATGGCAAAACCCAGTCTCTATTAAAAATACAAAACTTTTCTGGGTGTGGTGGCACACGCCTGTAATCCCAGCTGCTTGGGAGGCTGAGACAGGAGAAGCACTTGCACCCAGGAGGTGAAGGCTGCAGTAGTGAGCCGAGATTGTGCCACGGCACTCCAGCCTGGGTGACAGAGTGAGACTCACACACACACACGCACGCACAAAGAATCAACACAAGAACGCTGGCAACTTAATAGCCCCCTGGAAATCTGGTTCTCAGCTAGATTGAGATGACGAAAATGAGGCACGTGGAATTCAGAATCTAGATGTCTGGGGAGCTCATTGAAATTGGGGAGAAATTTGAAACAATCCAAGGAATCCACAGTAGGGACAAACTGGCTTTTTGAGTTCCCAGAGTTCTTGTGTCAATTTTTCTTTTTCTGACTCAGTCTCACTCTAGTCTGGCAGGCTGGAGTGCAGTGGCGTGATCTCGGCTCACTGCAACCTCCACCTCCCAGGTTCAAGCGATTCTCCTGCCTCAGCCTCTTGAGTAGCTGGGATTACAGGCACCTGCAACCATGCCCGGCTAATTTTTGTATTTTTAGGGGAGATGGGGTTTCACCATGTTGGCCATGCTGGTCTTGAACTCCTGACCTTGTGATCCATCCTCCTCGGCCTCTTGAAGTGCTGGGATTATCGTGCCCGGCTGTGTCGATTCTTTTTCATGTGCGGGGGCCTGGTCGCTAGGCTGGCACCTCACCTCCAGCATGCCACAGCCACCATACAGAGAGGAGTCCAGTCCGTCTTCCCTGTGAGGCCCCACCCCCACTTTACCAGGCAGGGCCCCCAGCTCGGGACTGCAGAGCGGCCGCCTGACCCTCGGCATACTCCCCGGTCGTGGCTCTGTGTTTCTCTGGGGAATAGCTCTGGGGAGTGGCTCCCAGAGGCAACTGACAACCCCTCTGCCACTGCCGTGGCGAGGGTTCTGTCCCTGCTGGGATAAACGAAGAGCCTGGGGGCTTCATTCCTGCTTCCAGCACACCACAGCCCCCATACAGGCAGGAGCTCAGTCTCCCCTCCCTGAGAGCCCTCCACCCCCTGCTCTTCAGCAAGCCGCGGCCTGAGCCAGCAGCACAGCAGCCCCACCTTCTGGCGGAGCTTTCCCAGTCGCAGTGGGTCTGCATTTCTCTGTGGCGGAGCTTCCAGAGGCAACTGAAAGTCCCTCTGCTGCGCCCACTGCAGTGGTGCTGTTCTTGCTGCCCTCAGACTGGGGAAGGAGCAAAGACTCTGAGTGCTTTAGGCCAGGGGTGGTGGCTCATGCCTGTCATCCAGCACTTTGGGAGGCTGAGGCAGGCGGATCACGAGGTCAGGAGTTTGAGACCAGCCTGGCCAACATGGTGAAACCCTGTCTCTACCAAGAATACAAAAATTAGCCTGGTGTGGTGGCATGTGCCTGTAATCCCAGCTACTTGGGAGGCTGAGGCAGGAGAATTACTTGAACCTGGGAGGTGGAGGTTGCAGTGAGCTCAGATCACGCCACAGCACTCCAGCCTGGGCGACAGAGCAAGACTCTGTCTCGAAAAAAAAAAAAAAAGAATTACTCACCAAGAATCTCATTTCCAGCCAAAGCAAGTTTCATAAGTGATGGAGAAATAAGATCCTTTTCAGACAAGCAAATACTGAGGGAATTTATTACCACCAGGCCTGCCTTACGAGAGGTCCTAAGAGGAGCTCTAAATATGGAAAGAAAAGACCATCACCAGCCACTACAAAAACACACTTACGTATGCAAACCAGGGACACTGTGAAACAACCACACAACAAGTCTGCATAATAACCAGCTAACAACACGTCAGGAGAAAATCCGCACATACAGATACTAACCTAGAATGTAAATGGCCTAAATGTCCTAATTAAAATGCAGAGAGTGGCAAATTGGATAGAGAAGCAAGAGATCAGCGTGGTGGCTCATGCCTATAATCCCAGCACTTTGGGAGGCTGAGGTGGGTGGATCACTTGAGGTCAGGAGTTTGACACCAGCCTGGCCAACATGATGAAACTCCATCTCTAATAAAAATACAAAACAAAAACAAAAACAAAAACAAACCACATTACCTGGGCTTGATGGTGCACACCTGTAATCCTAGCTACTTGGGAGACTGAGGCAGGGGAATTGCTTGAACCTGGGAGGTGGAGGTTGCAGTGAGTCAAGATCATGCCATAAACAGACTAATAATGAGCTCCAAAACTGAATCAGTAATAGAAATCCTGCAGAGCAGATAAAGCCCAGTACCAGACAGACTCACAGCTGAATCCCATTAGACATATAAAGAAAAGCTGGTGCTCCTCCTACTGAAACTGTTCCAAACTCAGGAGGAGGGAGGCCTCAACAACTCATTCTGTGAGGCCAGCATCACCCTGATGCAAAAATGTGGCAGAGACATATCAAAACTAGAAAACTTCAGGACAATATTCTTGTTGAACACAAATGCAAAAATCCGCAAGAAAATACTAGCAAACAATCCAGCTGCACATCAGAAAGCGAATCCACCACCATCAAGTAGGGTTTATTTCTGGGATACAAGATTGATTCAATGTACACAAATCTTAAATGTGATTCATCACCTCAACAGAACAAAAAAAGAAACCCCACATAATAGTCTCAATAAGGCTTTTGATGAAATTCAACATCCCATTATGTTAAAAAACCTAGACAAACTAGGCATTGAAGAAACATTTCAAAATAATAAGAATGAGCTGACAAACTCACAGCCAACATCATATTGAATGGGCAAAGCTGGAAGCATTCCCCATGAAAACTGGCACAAGACATGGATGCCCTCTCTCATCACTTCTACTCAACATAGCACTGGAAGTCCTGGCCAAAGCAATCAGGCAAGAGAGATAAATAAACGGCATCCAAATAGGAAGAAAGGAAGTAAAACTATCCTTGTTTGCAGATGATATGATTCTGTATCTAGAAAACCAGTCTCTGCCCAAACACTTCTTTTTTTTTTTTT